CCCGGCCCCTAGCGCTCCGGCTGGGTCTCTCCCCCGCCCCCCCAAGCTTCCCCGATCGCTCTCCTCAAGCGGTCGCCCGCACTCGGTGGATGTGGCTGGCAGCCGCTGCCCCCTCCCTCGCTCGCCGCCTGCTCTTCCTCGGCCCTCCGCCTCCTCCCCTCCTCCTTCTCCTCCTCAGCCGCTCCTCTCGCCGCCGCCGCCGCCTCCACAGCCTGGGCCTCGCCGCGATGCCGGAGAAGAGGCCCTTCGAGCGGCTGCCCGCCGATGTCTCCCCCATCAACTACAGCCTCTGCCTCAAGCCTGACTTGCTGGACTTCACCTTCGAGGGCAAGCTGGAGGCCGCCGCCCAGGTACGGCGACCCTGGGGCGCCGGGGGCGAGCAGTTAGGCCGCGCCCGCGGGCTGGGCTGGGGGCCCGGCCTGGAGGGCGGGCGGGCCTCGGCGCTGCGGGACTGGGGCGGGGGAGGCCGGCTCGAGGACGGGGCGCGCCCCTCTAGGGCGACGGCGGGGTGCCGGGCTGGCGTGCTCTGCCTTCTTCGGCTGGGGCCGGGACCGCGCTGCGGGGAGCGCTGCGGGCGCTGGCGGGCCCGGCCGGTGCACCCCTGGGGGGCGCGCACACCTGTGTGGGGCTTCCACCCGGGCCCTTCCGGGCTTGCTTGTGTCCTGGGAAAGGCTGGAGGGCATTGGGGGAGGTCGGAGGGGTCATCGGAGTCCAAGCTGTTTCACTCTCCTGACTCAGTTCTTTTTTGTGGTTCTCCCTACATCCCGAGGGGGATAGATTGGAAGGGGCGGTCATTTAGCACTCCAGCCGCTGCACTGTAGCTAGGAGGGGAGCGTCTAGAAGGGGAGGGGGCCGAGGGGAGAAGAGAATGCTAATCCCAGGCAGCCTTGCAGAGTTCTCCTCGCCTGCTCCAGCTCAGGGGCTGGGTTTCCCAGACAATCCGCGCCCCCCCAGTGACAGTGCAGCAGTGACTTTGTTCTCTCCTAACCTCCTGAGAAGCTGTGGGGAGACCCCCCTCTCCCTTTTCTTATATCTTCCTTGCTTTGCGGCTTTTGAAGCAGGTGGATTTATTGCTACAGCGATGGTTGCTTAGCAGTTCCTTCTTCTGAGAGAAGCTATTAGTTTTAGCATACCACTGGTGAAAATATTCCATTACTCTTCATTGCAGTTTTTGGTGAATCATCACCCAGTAGCATTATTTGAAGTATTGTTTGGTTTGGGGGGCTGTTAGTATGGGTGCCCAACAAAGGTCCTGAACAATAGACTTATCGTCCCATGTTATCTAAAGTGGTCTATGAAGTCTATACTGGAAATTAGGACCTGTTTAATAGCTGTTTTACAAATAATGATGGTAGACAGACTCTGTTTCGTTTCTTTTCCTATTACAGCCAAGGGATAAAAATCAGTAGGCCTCAACCATGAACCCTGAACATAGCAGAGATGAAAGAAATGTAGACCGGTACTTGTATGAATTGAAAGTTGACTCTTGTCTTTGAAAGCCAAGAGGACATGAGACTGAGTTTGGAAATATGTCTAAAACTGTAGAATTTAAAAGTATACTGTCAAATTTGGGGGGCTGGTATGAAAGCATGAGATCGCTAGGATCTGGCCACATCAAAAAAGAACTTATCCCTCTGAAAGTCAGGTGATTTAAAATTTTTCCATTAAGAATATGAATCAGAATGAGTGCATTTTGAGTCTAAATTAGGATTTGAGAGAGCTATTTGGGAGACTACGGTTTAATAAGCCAAGTGACTAGAGTGTTTGCTATATATTGGCAGAGGGTAGATGGGAGGGATTGGGATTGTAAGCAGTAGTGTGTCTTGTGACTTGGCAAACCTGCAGGAAGAAGGACCTGGCAACCAGTGAGTTCACATTATGTGAGAAGACTAACATTTAGAAAAATATCTTTTTTTTTTTAACCCCTTTAGTTTATATAAGGGTTTAATAATTTTGAGAAGCATATATAGTTAGAAAAAAAGTATTTTAAGAAGTCAGTAATATTTAAATGATTATCTATTAAGAAGTGACAGTTTTATTTAAGTATTACGCTAGAACAACATGCTCCTTCTTCTTTTAAACTTGCTTTCCCAAAAAGATGAAATCTATGTGAAAGAGTGCTTTGGGCAATTGAAATAGCACATGCTAATGTACCAGATATTAACAGACACTTGTTAATTTGGTACAAGGAAATAAATGAATCTTTTTAGTAATATGAACATTTCTAATAATTTACTTTAGAAATTATTTTCCCAGTAAGTGACAACACAGAGTAGGCATGATGGTGACTTTTAGCAGATTTTATTGAAGAATGATCGGACTTTAAATTGAACCCATTGCTATTTTTGGAAGTGGAGTCCTGGTGTGGGGCTGTAGTATAAGTACTGGACTGCTAACAACAAAATCAGTGATTCAAAACCACCAACCACTCCTCAGAAACTTATACAGGGCGCCTAGAAATCAGAACCAACTCATTGGCACATACCACCACCACCACCTTTGAAAACAGAAAAGAGATTCGATTAGTTAAAAGTAAAAATTATGTATTAGTATTTCTGAAATGCAGGGATTGGAGCAGTATGTTTAAATTAATGTCATTATGGAAATTTAAGAATACTGACAAAATTCCTAACTCTAGAAGCCTAGATTTATAATCGTTCTTTACAGTTCTTAAACTCTTTTCTTATTAGTTGGAGTTGTATTACACAAATGTGCAAGTTTCTGTGTTGCTTTAGTTGCAAAATTTTATGATAAACCCTGAGTATTTGTACAGGTTACATATTAGAAACTTAGTGGAATTTTAACCTGGCCTGGGGTGTGGACTCCTGGGGACGGAGAAGAAATTAGTCTACGTGCAGTGATTTATGAATTAATTCTTTGAAATAGGTTATACTATGTACCAGGTAGTACCGTGTACTGGTTTCATGGCAACCTCTTATGTGTGGTCTAATTTAGCAAATTTTGAAAATGTGGATCAGGAGCCTAGAATAGTGGGACGTTCCTCCTCTCCTGCCTTTACATTGGGTATTTGAGAGCAAAGGAGTTGTGTGGTGGTGGTTATGTGCCATGGAGTCGGTTCCAACTCATAGCGACCCTGTATAGGGTTTCTGAGGTTATAAATCTTAATGGGAGGAGAAAACCTCATGTTTCTCCTGCAGAATCGCTGGTAATTTCAAACTGCTGACCTTGAGATTAGCAGTCTGATTTGTAACCACAACGCTACCAGAGCTCCTTAAGGAGTTGTGTAGATATTTAAAATTTTTGACTCTTTCAATCTGTGGACAATCAAAATGGATCATAAGTTTATATGAATGTGGCTGTCCTTCCTGGTTATGAGTCTGTAGTGGTTGGTACAATATAGTTGGGCTTTCTCTTAGGAAAGATTTTACCTGTGCCAGAGAATTCAGCATCAGCGTCAAGACTAGAAATTAGAATATATTAGCCAATTCCTGTCTTCTGCCAACAGAACATTCAAGTTGATGATGACTAAATTGGCACTAAGATTATAGTTACAGTAGTTTGTTTGGCAGGTTCAAAACTTGGCACCTAAATAGATGTATTGTTAACTCTTTTTACATATTTTTTATGAAACAATCTTGTTCTTATTGTTGTTGTTAAGTGCTGTCGAGTCAGTTCTGACCCATAGTGACCCTGTGTAGAATTTCTGAGGAGCGACTGGTGAGCTTGAACACTGACCGTGTGGTTCAAACTGACTTTGTAGTCCAGCTCATTAACCCACAGCGCCACACCAGGTTGTTTTTAATTATGTTGAAAATGTGGTAAAATTTATAATTTATTCAGTATTGTGTTAGATAACTATTGTTGTTTTTAAGTGCCACCGAGTCAGTTCCAACTCATAGCCACCCTGTATAGAATTTCTGAGGAGTGACTGGTGAGTTTGAATGGCTGACCTTGGGGTTAGCAGTCCCAATTTTTAAATTTTTATCTATAAATTTGAAAGATTGGTGGTAAGGAATTGAATTTGCTCCAGTTTTCTATTTTACTTCTTGAAATGATCTATAAGAAAGCACCTTAACTATAAGAAACTGTTTTATATGTTTCACTTTATCCAGTAGCTTCTGGCAATGAATTCTGCAGTGAATTTTCAAGATAATTGAAGCTTACCATTTGTGGCACTTTTGACTTCAAAAAATATTTACTGATTTGGATGGAAATATTCCTAAATGTGGTTTCATTTAAAACATTGTTTAATTCTTCTTTTATGTTGTAGGGTTGTTTTTTGTTTTCTTCACATACTAGACATCATTTTGAACATCTGTTATTGGTGCCAGAATACATATAACCATAGAGGCTACTCCAAATTACGTACTATAATTTTTTAGTTTTATATCTGTTCTTTGAAGTTTTTTGCTTGTTTTCCCTACTTTTAGGTTATTACTTCTTGTTCCTTGTTACTGTCTATTGTGCAATTTCTTCTCTCTACTATTTTACTGAACTTGGTCTGAAGAGGTCTGAATAGCCTGATAAACAATGTCTGCTACTGCGTACCATCAAGTCTGTTCCAACTCATGGTGCTACTTTGTAGGGTTTCCTGGAGCAGACAGCTTCACAGAGCAGCTGGTGGATTTGAATTCCTGACCTTGGGGTTAACAGCCCAACACTAACCCATTACACTACTTGAACTTAAAAAATTCTTTCTAAGAGAAGGTTTGATGGATTCTTCTATGAATGAAGGGTCTTTAGCTTTCTTATATGAACTTTGTGTATCCACTCTGGAGTCCTGGTATGGCACTACAGGATAATGTGCTGGACTGCAAGGTCATTTTGAACTGCAAAACCAGCGGTTCAAACTCAACAGCCGCTCCTCGGAAACCCTATATAGGTTCGCTATGGGTCAGAACTGACTGGATGGCCCTCAGTTACAGCAACAATAAAGTGTTCTGGCTTTTCATAAGGCCCTACCCCTTAAAAAAAAAAAAATGACTTCCTGGTCCTGGAGCATTGATAGTGTTCTATGCAGCCTTAATAAATGTGATTGTGAGTAGTAAATTATCTATGAAGCATCTCTGAACTTTGCTACATAAATGAGCAAAGTAAATCTTACTCTAATTTGTATGCCAGACAGTTGTAAAATTAAGACTTCTAATATCTGTTTTGTTGTTAAAAGATTAGTTCTCCAGATTTAGAGATTTCGTTTTGAACACCATTCAAGTAATGTGGTTTTCAGTTTGTTTCTTTAAAAAAAAAAAAAAGTCTTAAAAAGACAACAACTTTTTTTGGAAAATACAGTTGAAATGCAAAAAGTAACCCACCACACACGTTGAACAGACACTAGCGTTGCTACATTTGCTTTAAACTATGAATGCTGGTTTGAGGGAAATGAATTCCC